AATGCCCATATAAACAGGGCATTTTACTGTGGAGTGGCCAGGCATCAATGTTGTCTGACTGTAAGGCTGCTGGTATCACCTGGAGGTAAGGGATGAGCTGTAGGGGATGGTTTAGGAGGCTCCTGGACCTGGGTGTGACTTAAAACTGCACTCTGCTGGGAGTGGGTGGTCTGGTGGGGCTCTCAGTGGTGCGGGGGCCCCCAGGAAATGCCAGGCCAGTTACCACCCCGGTGAAAGGCAGGTTGGGGTGCCTTAACCCCAGCTACCACTTTTGGGTGGGTCAGGTGACAATGTGACAATGGAGGTAGAGGGGGCCAGGCATGGCTACAGCCACCTGAGGAGGGAAGCCCTGAGACCCCGAGTACAAGGGGGTGGTGTGGAGCCCTGAGTAGGTGGGGAGAAGAACCAGGGGGCTGAAGGCCCAGTACACATACAGACACTGAATGTTACCCTGAAAGGGGCCTGAGTATGCTTAGACCTGGTAGGGTAATTGGCTGGCCACTACCCCAGTGAGGGTCACGGGAGAGGCCCAACAGATGGTATGTCTGCCACCCAAGGAATGGGCTAGCTAAGACTATGACCAAAAGGGTGCCTGCTCCAAGAGGGAGTAAGGCGGCATAAGTTATCGACACGAGAAAGACCCTGTGAGAGAGGGTGGACTAAGTGAGAGGTGGGCAGTATGAATGTGTGTCTGACAGCGTGGCCTAAGCATGCTCTGGCTGTAGGCTGTGGGCAAGGTAACATTTGGATGCCATCTGTGGGGCTTGGGTGTAGGGGAGGTATGGAGCTGTGGACACCCCCAAACATGGGGGTGCAGTAATGGGCAGCCTCCCGCCTTATTTAACAGCATATTATTAATCCAACAAGGCGGGTCAGGCGAGACAGCTGGGTGGCATGCCCAGAGGCAGGTGGGGGGCTAGCTGCGGCTGGTGGAGATACCCACTTTGCCACATATGGTGCATTGGCTGGGAACACATTGGCCCGATGGCCGTGCACAGTAGAAACCCCCCCACCCAGTAGTAGCAGAATGCAAGAACCCCAGTGTGGGGGCAGTGATCAGAAACCCAGTGGGAGTGTGGAGCCCCAGTGAGGGGGGGCCAGGCTACTACGTGGGATAAGGATGCCATGTGGGAGTATCTCAAGGGGGGAGGTGTGTGGCAGGGCACTATTTGTGCCTGCTGCTTTAAGGGCCTGAAGCCAGCAGTTGCCTGATGAGGGCAGCCACTTTGGATTCAGGGCTGCCTATATAAACAGGGTATTTTGCTGCTGGAAGGCCAGGCATCAACATTGCCTGGCTGCAAAGCTGCTGGTATCACCTGGAGGTAAGGGAGGAGCTGTAGGGGATGGTTTAGGAGGATTCTTGTTCTGGGCATGACCTAAAATTGCACCCTGTCGGAAGTGGGTGGCCTGGTGGGGCTCTCAGTGGTGCGGGAGCCCCCAGGAAATACTAGGCCAGTTACCATCCTGGTGAAAGGCGAGTCGGGGTGCCTTAACCCCAGCTCCCTCAACCAGGTGAGTAACCCCGAGTAGGGGCCAGAAGGCAGACCCCAGGAGTGAGAGTGCGGCTAGAGGCTCGGAAGCCTGACTGAGAATACCTTCGACTGGCCTGGGCTGGGGCCTGGACCAGAACGGTCAAAGGGGCCAGGGGCCCATGGCGAGGGACGCCCAGAGTGTGGAGGGCCTGGGGTTCCCAACTGACCTTGGAGGTGAGGCCAGGGCCTGCGTCATGTACAAGCCCATGTCCGAAAAGCGAAAGAGTTTCAGGAAGCAAGGCAGCCCTGAATGAGGGTGGGGTAGGCTGCCTGAATGGAGGGATCATGGAGGGGTCCTGATAGGAGGATTCTGGGGCCCAGTGTGGGGCCGGTGATGTTGGTAACATCTGGATGCCATTTGCGAGGCTTGGGCTGTGGTGTAGGGGAGGTAGGAGCTGCGCACACCCCCAAATATGGTGGTGCAGTAATGGGCAGCCTCCCACCTTATTCAACAGCATATTATTATTCCAACAAGGCGTGGCGGGTGAGGCAGGCGGATGGTATGAACAGAGGCAGGTTGGGGGCTCCCCTGCCATAATAGTTGCTTGAATATAAATTGCTTTTTTGGGTGTTGTGAATCTGTCTGTGTGTTTTCCCATAAACTTTGCCACAGTGGCAAAAGACTGGACTGAACTGAGTGAGGAGGCTTTTCCTTTGCGAGAATATTGCAATGCCCCCAGTAGCTATATGTACAAGAAATATTTCTTAATACTCCTGTTGAGTTCTTCCTCTCCCCATTTCCATCTTGTTACCTCTTAGACCAGTGTTTCTCAACCCATGGCTCATGACCCAAAAGTGGGTCTCAAGAATTGTCAAAGGGTTGTGAGCTTTGGCAAGGCAGAGGGGTGGTGGGAAGGCATCTGCCTCTTCCAGTGGGGGGAAGCTGTGTGGCCAGGCTAGCAGCACCAGGGCCAGTGCTTGCAGAGGCGGAGCGACCAGGAGACATTGCTTGGGGACATTGCAATATTCTTGCAAGGGGGGCGGGGAGGGGAAGGGGGGTGTCCATGACCAGATCCTGATGCTTTGCGGGGACATGACCAGGCTGCTCAGTGCAATACAGCAGCCTCAGCCCAGGGCAGAAGGGTTGTCACAGGCCTCCTCCTCCCTCCAACCTGTTCCAGGGCTGGACTTGCTCCACTGCCACCTGCATGAGCTGGAGCCACTGCAGCCACCATGCTCTGGCCCAAGTGGGACGGGGGCAGCTGGAGGTCCCTCCAGCAGGCTGGGAGGTGGGGTGGGCAAGGGGCTGTGGGTCAGGAGTGAGGGACACCAGCATGGAGCAGGGGACTGGGGGTCAGGTACCACCAGGGGTGTGGGGCTGTGCGTCGGGACAGGCCATGGATCTCTGCAAATGAGTCCTGGTAGGAAAAAGGTTGAGAACCACCACCTTAGACAATTGCTCTCCCTTCTGGTTTTTTTTTTCTACTCTTACAGTTGGGGAAATGGGCAATTGGCACTGGGGAGAGCAGGGGAAGGTTGTAGCCTGAGGTTGGTGAGTCTATATTGACTGCTTGCAAAGAAAATGTGGGAGGATCCAATCAGATTCCCAGCAGGTACCTACCCTTCTGCTCTAGCAAGTAAGCTAAGGTTGCAAGAGTTGAATGTAATGGGTGCAATTTACCCCACACATGGAAAACTGCATAGAAGTAAAAATGTGAAGCAGTGTAATATTTTTTTCAGTGCAAACAAACCTGCATTGAATTGGCTCCGAGGCTGTTGTCATTAATAAGAATTGCTCAAATTTCAGTCTAGAAGGAATCTGCTGAGTTATGTCCTGTTGTTTGTTTCTTCCATGCTGAAATCTGAAAGAAAAGTGTGTGGGGGGGAACCATGCTCTTCTTAACAATGGGCTCCATCAGGAGCTGCTTTTCACACCCACAAAGGGGAGAGACAAGGCTTCCTACACCCTCCTTGTCTCCCGTATGAATTACCTGCATAGTCTATGCACAGAGGGAGAGCAGAGCTGTGGTGGGGTCTTTGGCCACCTTTCTCACATATGAGTAAACACAAAGAAATCGCCTGTTACTTCAAACCGAGGGCTAACAGTAACACCCACCAAAATCTGATCCAGTGAAACCTTACCCTTTGATGGGATGTTCTACCCTTGAAGGGTCAAGGTACCTGGGTCAGCCAGCTCAGTTTGATTACCAGACCCTGGTGGGAATAAGTCGGGCAGTTCCTGTAATGGGATGAGAGAGGGTAGGTTGACGAGAAGCAGCTGTAGTGAGGCATAAAGCATGTAAGGCTGCTATCTGTCTTGTCATGGGATTGTTTCTGTGTTTTTGGAGGACAATGCTGTCCTGAACAAGCATGGGATGTGGTACTAATCCCACCTGGCTCGGGGAAATGGGTCAGGAGGCTCCCTGCTTTGACTTTCAGCCCTAATGCATTTTGGCCCAGTAAGTTAAACTTCCCCTACTACTAATTCTTAATCATCCCCTCTGGTACAGGGAACTGGTGTTGTTGCCTCTCATACAATGCAGGGAGTAAGTTTTCATGCTAGTTTCTGTCTAACTGGAAGCCCTGTTCATTCCCCTTAGGTGTGAACAGAACAAAGGTAACGGTGGGCTGTGCTTCAGGGCAGTATTTTACTGGTTGGTGTTGATAGGCTTAGGGATGGTTGAAAGGGAAAGCGGGGGCAGTTGCCTTATGGTGGCAAATGCAGGAATACTCAAGGCCTAGGGGGGGAAAAATAGTATTCTCTTTTATTTTAAAGCTCAACACATTTAATCTTACCCTGCAACTGCTAGTGTCACTTGGGTGCCATCCATGGAAGACTGAGAGAGGATAATTGAAAAGACTGGACTCCTAAAATTAAAGGTAAGGAAAGCTGAGCTCTATTCAAAATGGCCATAGAAATAAAACTGAGCAAGCAGGAAAGCACGTGTTTGTAGGCCCTTCCAACTGCTAGAAACAATGCTGCTTTTAAAAAGGGATTGTGTCTGCGTACTGCCATAGTTCTACATAAGAAGAAGGCAATGCTGGGGGTGGGTGGACTTTGGGGGAGTTTGTCCTGTAGATGTCCCAGCTAATGGGGACTAGAGCATTTAGCACAATGCCATAGAAAACAGGGCACTGCTGAGGGGAAGTTCACGTTGCATGTCCCCTGCTCAAAGGGGGCTTTCACTACAATGCTGTCTTCTGATCATGCATAATATAGAGAGTTTTGTTAACACCACAGTACAAGACCAAATGGTTTTCCTGTCGCACGAGGGAATCAGTGGGCAGTCTAGATACCCAAGGCTAGAGGGACCCCCTGGAGTGCTGGTAAGTTTTGCATACTCGTGTGGAACAAGTGTTGATTTTACTTGAGCTGCCATAAGGGAAAGCAGGAGACATTCTGTTCAAGGGGGAGTTTTGTACCTTCCAGTTCCTGACAAAAGCCTGTCATAAAAGTTGCTTGAATATAAATTGCCTTTTTTTGGGGTGTTGTGAATCTGTCTCTGTGTTTTCCCATAAACTCAATGTCTATATATTTTTCAGTCTTTTCTTATGTATTTCAAGTGAGCATCTCAAAGCCCAAAATGATGCCCAGTGTGTGCTGAGCACTGGAAAAATCAGTAATAAGAAACTACTCTGGGCCAAAGCGCTCACAATGAGGAAGACAGGCTAAGAAGGATTAAGTGACCTTTTCCAGCTCCAAAGATTACACAGGGAGTTGGTGACAGACCAGGTATCTCTTCAATCTTAGCCTAGTTCCAGAATCTAGTGCCAGTTTCTTTCTGTTTCTTTGTTGCTTTGTTTTCCAGTGTCTTGTGAACTGTTCCTGGTGACCCTGCACCTATTTAATGCTAAAGCTGAGAGTTGTCAGCGCAGTCAGCCTCGGGGTGTTTACTCTGGGTATAAGGGCCTCCAAAAAGATGAAGCTGAATAGTTTTTGTGTGCATTATGTTGGAAATTACCAGTCAGAAACCTGGGCTGTAGTAATTGGTCCCAGCCTATGAGCTGTAACCTCCAAAGCATTTGCTAGCTCCTGTCTGAGGATGGGGGAGGGAGCTGGAAGCTGCTATCTCCATATTTGTCTGATGGTTTCAGCTGGCTCTTCGCTTATGCCAGGAGAACCACACGAACTACTCAGTATTTCTGCTGTCCCTTCACTGAGGCTCCATGGTAACCATGCAAAGGAATCTGGAATGTGTCTGAAGGGGACGAGATTTGAGTGACTGAATGTGAGGTCTCTGTATGACAAAGCCTGAGACCCTCTGGCACATGGCATTGCAATGTCTGCCATACATTGTACTTCACAAACATTAATTTTTCCTTTCTTCCAGTCCAACAAATGTGTGCAGCAAAGGAGGCTGATCCTAGCTTTCTTAGCGAAACTGTCTGGCTGCAGGCCCTGATCCAAAGGCCATTGAAGAGAATGGAAGTTTCACTATTGACTGTGGTGGGCTTTGTATCAGGCTCTTCATACACACAAGAGGCCAGAATAATCATGATTTCTATCTGGGAACCAGCCCATGTTCTATTTAGGGATGCTAAGGGAGTCCTGGACCAAAGATGGGTGGTATTGCCTATTGAGGTAGGGATCTTGCTCTCTCTTGTCTATGAAACACGAGCTCTAAAAAGTTACTAATCATACCATTGGTGAGAGGGGACATGCTAGAGGAAGGAGGAAAAGGAATGGGTGAAAAAGAAGGAAGCAAGGAGCATGCAATTTTCCAGACCTTCACACACCGTGTAATGATTTCTTTCCTTCCTGGAGACATCAGTTCATTTTCAATACCTTTATCTGACATGTATGTGCAGAAAAATAAGTGTATGGATATGTGCAGCAAGGCAGTCCTTGTCCTCCTCAGTGGGCACATCTACACAAGACATTTACTGCCCAGTTGCCTAATTAAGTTCTGCAGTAAAGTCTTAGTGTCTACGTGTATGGCCCTAATTGGCTGTAGTAAGCTAATAAATGCCACTATAGGTTAGTACTTGTAAGCAAAGTACTGTACTATCCTGAAGCGGTGTTATTTTAGCGTGCAGCAATGCATGTGTAGATGCTGATGGGGGGTGGCTGGGGCATAAGGGTGCTTCAGTGCAGGAGCTGCCCACCAGCTAGTTCTTCATGGAGCACCTATGTGCCCCAGCTAACCTCTCTGCAGCACATTGAGCTGGGTTGGAGTAGGCCCGGGATGGCAGGCTGACCCCCGGCCCTCTGCCAGCTGGGGCTAATCTGCCTTATCAGCCTGGGGACCACAGCATGTTCATATTCAAACAGTGCACCTGGGAGCACAAACTGTGCCAGAGTTTACTTTGTCCTGCTAATTGCATGTGTAGATAAGCCCAGTGTGTATATGAGCCCCTAACCCTAGAACATCTCCCCTGCCTCTCCCCACCTCATTGGGCTGGATTGGACATGGACTCCTTTCCAATATGTGTATTCCCTTCCCTGTGCCATCTTCAACTGTGCAAAGTAATACCTTGTCACTGGGCTGCAGGACTCTAACACCTATGACAGAACACAGCCTCCAGAGTTTTCCCCCTCCCCACTCCCAGGTGCTGTGACAAGAGAGACTGAACAAAGCGCAACATACACTGTGTGCTGTGGTAGGGTGGACAGAGGAATGATTAGTCAGCTCTGATTTTCCTCACCCAGAATTGGATAGCTTTTTCCAGCCAGCCTCTTCCCCTTTCATGGTTCTTATCTCCAGTGCTATCATCTACACTGCTAGGGAACAACTCGCTTGTTCTAAGCTCTGCCATGTTCAGTTCATCCAGTCTGCTCTTGGAGCCTTCATTGCCTCATTTTCCAGGCACATGCAGCCCAATATAAAAATACCCTACAAGAATGTGGGCTCTGAAGGGATTGAGGAAGCAGCTGGTGGTGATGGCTGCATGCTCAATCAACCCTGCAATCCAAGCAGTATGTGGGGGCTCCTTCTCTATGCCCCAGCAATGGTACATAGTTTTACTAATTTTCTGGCCTCCAATCATTCTTTTGCACTGCAGGGATGGTGATATTGCCTGCCCCCCAGAGATCTGTTAACCTGTCAATAAATTCCAAAGTGCACCATATCAGTGGTCATGGTTAGATATCCCCATAGCACAGCTAAGAGACACCAGTTTCTGTAGCCAACAGCACACAAGGAGGTCATGTAGCTAGCATATCTTCTGGGGACCTTTCAATCCCAAGCTTGAATGACCCATTTTCAGCTGGTCAGCCTTTACCACAAGTCTGAAGCAGGCCTTTGATTCCCACCTCTGGAGCCACAGCAATATACCATAAGCACTCAGCTGCCACCTCCTTCCCCCATCCAGCATGATCTGCACAAATGCGAAGGTTATGCCCTTCCCAAATCAGGCCATCAAATGAAGTAATATACAGACAACTTGGTAGTGAATGAACAGGGTAGACTAGACTATGTCCTCCCTTTCCTTGGAAGAAGGTGAGATACTGAATTCTGTGTTGGTCTTGTTCAGAGCTAGTTTCCTTCTGGTACTCAAGGTGATGTGCAAGGTACCTTCCTTCAGCTTTGGGAGAGAGTGAAACACAGATGTAGGCAAGCAGCTAGAGGGCTCAGTGGGTAACTTGTTCATTTCCTTGGGGCAGCAGTTTTATGGCAACCAGCAGGCTGGTTTTAGTCCTTAATCAGGCCTCTTGGGATCAATGTCTGCTATTGATCTACACAGGCAACTCCCACTGCCTCCACTGGGAGACCTACACAAGGGACTTGGGCAGGACTGATTTATTAACAAGTTGTAGGACTCTGCATCCCTAACTATCTGCTTTTGTACTTATCGATACACATGCATGGCTCATGTTGGCTTCACTGGGATATAGGAGGCCTAGTAGGCCAATTTGTAATGGCCTTACTACTTGTTAGCATTTTCCAGACAAGCCACAACAGGTTGGTGAGGATACGTATGCATTTCAGCTGCCAGGCTTTTCTCATGAAGACCACCAAACCACTTTCACATACCTTCATTTTACATGCTAGTAGTCTTTCCATTGATTCTAAAAGACTTTAGCTCAAATCCAGGACTGGGAAAAATGTAAGGCCCCCTCTGATTTCCATCCTCCCCCCGCCCCCTCAGCCTGCTAAGCTCAAGCTGCTGTTTGGTGGAACAGAGGAAGGTGTGCATGTCCACTGAAGCACAATCAGGATTCTGGATTTGAATAAACAAGCCATTTGATCAGTTTAGAAATAAAGTCTATGTGCTGTCAGTGACTTTTTTTATTGACAGGTAAGCTATGCATAGAGCACAACAATACTGGCAATGCTCATGGACTGCAATGAGCACATTGCCCTCTCAGCAGTGCAGCCACGCAAGGAAGGCATAACAGAACAAGGCTGATGGCTATGAAATTGGGTCTTTGCTGGTGTATCCACAAAGGGATACCCTGTGCATGGTTGACCCACTCACACGTGCCAAACCCAGATATGGGGTGGTGAAGCCACTCTTTGGGTATCCCCTAACAATCACTCTCTAGACTTCTGCCTCTAACATGCTTGGGAGTGACTGTGAGAGAGGTCCTCAGACTGGCTTCATAACCACACTTTGAGGTTCAGTGCATGGGACTGTAAGTGGGTGGGCAGGGTGTACACAGAAGTGCTTCTTGCTGCATCTGCCAGGGATGCAGTGCAGACCTGCCAACAGATCCATGAAATCCCTTCCTGTGCAGTGGAGGGTAGGATTCTCAGAGGTATAAATTTTCTGCCTCCATTAATGTCAGTGAGAGTCTCCTACTGATGAGAATCTTCCTATTGACTTTAAGAGAAGCTGAGCTTACATCAGTGCTAAGCACCTCTGAAATTCTCATCCTTCATTTGCTAATGAGATTTTTTTTTACACCTGAGCCTGCTTGAGAGGCAGCAAGGCCACTAGGGAGGTCTGAAACAAAGGTAAATCGATCTCTAAATCAGAAATTGCTTCAGCATACATTGATTCTTTCAGACTTCTGTACCAGTGGTGGCATCTGAATGTCTTATACTGGAAATAAGTGCTCTACTGTAGAATAATATCAAATGCTGTGCCCTGGGAAGCTTTCCTTGGCTCTCACGGATTCCACAGTCTTAGAATAATGAGTTCTTATTTGTAATTATGCTAGTGCCTGAGATCAGGGCTAGGTACCACATGAACACTTCTTGGAAGTCAGCTGCTGCTCCAAAGAACTCATCATGTAGACAAAGGGTGGGAAGGGAAGCAGATAGGCATGGAGTGTGGACAGATGTCACACTTGAAATGCTTCCAAGTGTACCAGGTTTGGAAAAACTTATAAAATATAGCATTCCACCTCCACACAGATGTACAGCCCCC